GCACCGCATCGCAGACCAGCACCTGAGGGCTGGGGCGTTCGTATGTCTCTGCGTGTGAGGAACGTGCTCTCCTCAGCCTGACCCCGAGGACACTGGAGAGCTACCATTGATCCGTGTTTGTACGCTGGGCCCAGCTCCATGGGTCTCATTTAAGGTACTGCTGCCTACTGCAGGGCTCGACTCTGCCGGAAGCAGAGCAGACCTGGCTGGCCCAGGGTCCAGCGCCCAACCGTGACTCAGTCTCATACGAGCAGTATGATGTGTGCATGTGAATACAGTCCTTAATCCATGCTCTGGTGCTGTCACTTGGGCTTCCCCATCTAGAACAATCCCTGGAGTTTGTAATGCCGGGATGTGAGGGGTTGTCACCCGAGTCACTGCTGGGGTTGCTCAGCTGCTGCATGATCCTCAGCTCTTCCCTGCGAGGTGTCACTGAGATCTGGGCCTGGCAGAAGCTTCCTGGGCTGGAGCCTGGCTCTTCTCACGGGTGGTGGGCTGGGCTGTCACTGCATGAGTGTCACTGCACGAGTGCCAGCTGAGCTCTGAGTCCCGGAGAGGTGGCTCCTGCCTCCGTAGTCTGTCTGTTCCTTGCCAAAATCAGTGGGTTTGTTAGTCCTGGGGGCACCCTGGGAGAAAGCTGCAGTTTGGGCAGGAGCTCCAGGTGCGGGGTTCAGAAATCTTGTCCCAGCTCTTCCTTCCTCGCCACAGGTTTGGAGTTTGATCGCTGGCTGAACACGCCGGGCTGGCCCCCTTTCCTGCCCGACCTGTCCCCAGGGGAGCAGCTGATGAAGCCGGCGGAGGAGCTGGCAGAGCTCTGGGCAGCCAACACTCTGAACATAGAGGCCATTGAAGCAGTGGACATCTCTGTCTGGAAAACCTACCAGCTGGTCTACTTCCTGGATCAGATCCTGCAGAAATCCCCGCTGCCGGAAGGTGAGGTGCTCCGGCTCCCAGTGGCACTGTGGGATGATGCTCCCTGGTCCAGCTTGTTGGCTGGGGACAGGAACGTGTCACCGGGACACCTTGGTGCTCCCTGGTCAGCCTGTCCCCGCTACAGTCCAGCACTGCAGTGCTCCTGCACAGGAGGGGTCCGGAGACAGGGAGCCTGGGGCTGGCTGGATGCTGGGGATGCAGGTCCCTGGAGAGTTTGTCATAGCTAGAGGAGCACAGAGGACCCGTCTGAGCGGAGATCTGTCCCGGGACCCTGTCAGAGCTACCTGGCACCGGTGCCATTTGTCTCGCAGGCAACGTGGAGAGGCTGAGCGAGATGTACCCGAAGATCTCCAAGGCCCAGAACGCCGAGCTGCGTGTGCGCTGGTGCCAGATCATCCTCAAGAACAACCACGAGGCCGAGTATGGCAAGGTCAAGGACTTCCTCCACAGCCAGGTTGGTCATGGGGCAGCGGGGGCTGTGCCTGGCAGGGGGGATCAGGGTGACAGCAGCTTGGGAGAGCGGGCAGAGGTGCTGGGAGGGGACAGCCCTGCTCTCCTCTCACTCCAGCCTCTCCCTGCGAGGGGCTGCCCCAGGCTGGGTGTTTGTACTGACCTGTCCCATGTTTTGGCCTGGCTGAGAGCAGGGAGTTGTTCCTGGAGGGTGGTGCGGGGCCCCCGCTGGGGCC